AAGCCTGAGTTCCTGCTAATGGAAGGCTTCTGCCTTTGGCCCATGTGCAGATGTCATTTCTCACTGAGTGCACAGGGTGGACTGGAACTCCGTTACTGCTTTGCAGTGAGTTGTATGGGATGCTTTGTTACACGTCAGTACAAATAAAGAAGTGCTTTGTAAATGGAACGGTCAGAGGAGGGCAATTGAAATGTTAATTCTCAACATATGCTGTTCTCCTGGGTTGATTTTTGAATTCGTGTTCTCCACTAATTAGCTAATGACTATAAAGTGTGTTGAAGGTAGGAAATGCTTTAAATGCTATGTGCTATTGTTACTATCGTTATCTACTAGTTTTAATTAGTTTGTGTACATTTTAATTGGATTCTTGAGATGAAAACTACAGAATACAGTTTGGGCCCGAATGCCATCCTCAAATTCCTGGTGAAATGAACAGCTGCAATGCCCATATGCATAGGTAAGAAGATGCACTTGTTTACTTGCTTACTCCATGGGCTGTTAAATCTTCGTATCAGTCCTGCACGAGCATCAGATGGCTTCGCTCTGCCTTCATCGTGTCCTCGTCTAAGACCAAGACAGGCCGTGCTCAGCCTGGCCTGGCTGTGACATTTGTACTGAAGGCTGTGTTACAGTGCTAAGGAGTGATTTATGGCCTTGGAGAACAAGGAACAAGAAGGTTATAGCACAGAGATGAGCAGAGTCTCAATTTCCTTGTGGGGTCAGCGCATTTCTGTCACCCTTTGAAGATGAGGAGCTGGCTTTAAACCAATGGTATCTTTGACAGTGTCTGCTTTGCAGTTTTTCTTTTTCCTTTCTGTGCAGAAATGACAAAACCTGCCGACCTTGTCTTTCATTCTTGCCCGTGGCTCAGAAAGTTATAGAGTAAATAACTTTCTGTTCAGTCATATTCATGTAGTTAGAAGTGACTGCTTTGGAGGAAAACAACAAGATCCTGTTGGGAGAAAAACTCTGGGAGTTTTCTCTTTCAGTTTGGTCCAAACCACTGCTCTGCTGCCCCACCAACATCAGGGACTTTCTCAGTTTGTGTAAATTTGCACATGCTTTACTTCTAGAATTTGTTTTACTTCCAAAAGCAATTGGGTGGCTGGCAATCCTTCCCCTGCTTGTTCGCAGCTAGCCTCTCTGTCCTGCCTTTTTCAGAATGTTTTGGTTTTAGTGCTTATAAGATACCTCCCACCATTAGGGAAAAAAAAGTAAAAAAGAGGCATTGCAGTTCAAAAAAGGAGGAAGTTTTGCTCTTATTGTAAAACACCTCTATCATAATTAAGTCAGCTGGGGTACTCGGATGTACAGCTAACTTGCAAGACTCTTTAACATCATTGCATTTTTGGCACTGGAAGGAAGTTCTTACTGCTTGTATTACTGGAACTGGAAGGGGATTTCACTTGAAAGTAAGTTATACGATTTATTTTTTTCTTAATTATTTCGTATTAACTGTTTCCCTCTTCTGCTGCCTTATGTCTTGTTTCTCTGTGCACATGGCAGCCTGCTCCTAGTAAGAGATCAGAAATCAAGCTGATGGCTAAGGACTGGAGCAGGGTGGGAACCATTGGAAATCACTGCTTTCTTCCCATGATCAGTTCTGGATACCAGTGGCATCTTATCCCCAGCTCTTCAAACTTCATAAGATTGAAACCATTTGTCCCTATCTTCAGATATGAGAAGGTTAAGATCCTTTGTTTAAACCCTGGATGAATGCTTGTTGTGTCAGCCTAGGAAATCAAGACACTGTATTAGATCCTTTTTTATTTCACACGGCGCTGCGCTTGCACGAATTCCCCATGCAGTCATCGTGCTTTGTGTGCATTATTTATTTAATGCTACAAACAGAAAATACTCATCCCCTGAAGAACCTGTTTTTCCTTGGCCTCTAATATTTCTTTGTTGGAACAATGGTTTATCCTGCAGCCTGGCAGTTTATCTTCTGAAGCCCTTGCCCTTGGCAACGGCCATACGTCAGCTGTGACAAAATGTACAGCAGTTTGTCTCTCTTTCCTTTCTGCTCCCTTTGTATTCCAAATATTGCAGTCTATGTCATCCCTAATTGCTGGCAATTGGCTGAGGTTGGCAATACTTTGATGGCAGTTGTGAAGCGATGGTTTGTGCTATAGTTAAGCTAAATGTTTTTGTTTTTGTTTTTGTTTTCCTTCTCAGAATCTTTCCCAAATCGTCCCCCTCTCTTCTCTTACCTCTGCTTTGTTCAAAGTTGTTACCTGGGCTGTCATGCCTGCGCCAGTGCAAACCATACACTGTGATCGTCTCTCCCAATGAATTTCTGCTCTGCTATGTGCAAAGCAAAAAAGCAACGAACCAACCAGCCAGCATCACTCTAGTGCCCTCCAGTTAGCCTAAATCAGCTTCTAGAAATCTCTTTGAAATCAACTGAATAATAGCTGTGGGTAGATTAGATTGTGCATGGAGGTGGAAGCTGCAGAGGAAGGTGATTTGTGGGATCACCATTCATTCAATGACCATTGTGGCTCCCCCTCTTATTTCCTGCATGCATTCATACACACAGGAACATCTCAGCAGCCCCACGCCAGTAAAAAACTTCACAGCCTTACTGTATGAGATGATGGTAAATGTGGAGTTGGTGGCTGTTTGCTGAGATGACAGCGCTGTTGGAAGTTGGTGCATCCTTTGGTACGTCCACAGAATCAGAACAGAAGGTGGAGAAAGGATGGAGTCAGCAGATCTAGCTCCAGCTTCAGCTTGCAGCTCCACCTGCCCTTGTGATCACTGGGATAGCTTCACACACCTATTATTAGCTTCTTTCTTCTCCAAGATTTTTGGTTTTTTTGGTGTCAGCTTTTCAGTATTGCTTTCACTGGATGAAATGAGGATCAGCCTCTTCGTTGAATGCATTCAAAGAACTCTTCATGCTGCCTTCTCCACCTGTATGGCTAGCATATTGCACCAGATCACTGCAAAGAATTGCCAGACAGCTAGAGACTGAAGGTTTGATCAGAGTCATATATACTTGAAAAATGATGCTATCATTTTTTAAACTGCCATAGCAACAAAGATTATGTCATTAGGAATTAATACTTTCTGCAAGAAAGGCTCTGAATGCTTCACTTCATAGGAGCCCAAACATTGAAGGTGGGTTTGTTGTTGTTTTAATTTGAAAGGGGTGGAAAAAAATGTATGTTAGTAATGCTTAAATTTAAGCAGAACTACAAACAGACAACTAATTAAAAGATTTAAAGCAGAAACTTTCTTTTCCCTCTGTCAGTTAATTTGAAAATACTATTTTTCTAGATTTCTTTTACATTTTCCTAGTTGTGAATCCACGAACCTTCATCTTTCTCAAAAATATTCTGAGGATGAGAAAGCTGCATGTTTAGTGCAGCTACGTGGCTCTTAGGACATGAGGGCTCCAGTGATTTTCCCCTCCGTCTTGCCAGGGAGGAGGAGTGGATGGAGCTGCTGGTCACTGAGTGCTTGTGAAGCTGCTCTTGGCTTTTCTGACCCTGAGATCCTCTCTGGATGTTGAAGACTGCTAGGAAGAAATGGGGCCCGCTGCCCAAATCGAGCATCTTTGCCAACAGGGAATGGATAGGAGTAGTTAGGGGTGAGGGTGCATTTACGTGTCTGCAGTCTTATCGGGTCATGGAGGCATGGTTGGATGGCTCACGGGACTGGGGTGCTCCATGGGTGGATGGAGTCTCACTGGAGGTGCCCAGAAGTGTTGGTGAAATCCTTGTGTGTTTATCAGTGGTTAGAATAATGTTTTGGAGAAATCAGAGCCCTGAAGTGCTGGATAACTTGCAGGCAGCTGTGAAAGGACTGTGCTGGCCCTCAGGGACCTCACAGCACTGCAGACCTCTGCCCAACTGTTTCAGCCTGAGGGTGAGAATGGTTCAGGAGAACAAGACAACCTTGCAAAAAAGCAGCTTCAAGTTGAAATATAAGTGTGTTTTGGGGCACCTGTGGTCATCACTGCTGCTGCTGATCAATGCCAGCCCGAGTGGGCTGTTGTACAGACAGTTTGGAACCTGCCAGGAGCTGGAAATAATTGCCTGGCATTTCTCACTCTCGTCTTGATCCTGCAACATGAGTGTGAAATGAGACCCTTCTCACACTGAAGCACTCTGGATGAGTTTCACTTCACATGCTTCAGGTCTGTGTTCAGAACTAGCTCCAGCTGTGCAAGTTGGGCCGTACTGAAGTATTTCCAGTGGCCACACCTCATGTAAACATGGAGCTGAGTCTCTGTTGGAGTTTTTGGATTAAAAGTCTCCATTCCTGTGAATAAGAAATCTACCATCACGGGGCCTTTCAGCTAATACCCTGCTGAATTACAAGAATAAGAAACGCCTTTATTTATCACTGCCTTTCCCCCCAAGCTGTTCTTATTTAGTCGCACTAAAATGGAATGCATTTGGCATAAAACACGACAGCTCCTCTTCTTGGCCTGTTGGTGTACTTTCTCTGTAGCTGGTCAATGCTTTTATCTAAAGCTTTGCTTCCTGAAGATTTCAGGGAGTGGTGGGAGGGTGAAAACACAAGGTTCGTGCTTAGCACTGTGGGATACAGTGATGGCGAAGCTCCGTGCTCCGTTGAGTGACAGACTCGGGGTCTCCCCTCGGGAAGAAGCTGTTTCATGCGCAGGTGTGGCAAGATGGGAGGCGGCTGTCAGCCTACAGCTCACCGCGTAGTGGCGTTTCACCCAGCTCCGAGCTGCATCACGTCACCTTTCTCTCTAAGCGGCACGGACGGGTTGTCGAGCGTCGTTCCCAAAGCACCCGCGAGACGGCTTTACGCGCAGCATCTCTAAGCAGACGGGCTCAGCCCCAGCTTTGATCCCGGAGCCGCTCGGCCGCAGGACGGCTCCAGCCGATGCGGGCGGCGCTCAGCAGGTGGCGCTCTCGAGCCGCGCGGCCCGCACCGGCGCGCCCCTCCCCGCCCGCCCCGCACGTGGCGCGCCCGCTAAAAGCCGCCGGCGGCCCCGCGCCCGCCACTGGCGCCGGCAGCGCCCGCGCGGCCCCGCGCCCGGCGTCCCGCGGCGGAGAGGCGGCGGGCCGGGGGCATGGGGTGCGCGCCGACTTGTTGCGGGAGCTGAGCTGGGTTTTTTTCTTTTTTTTTCTTTTTTTTTCCTGGCTTTTTTTTTTTTTTTTTTTTTTCTCTCATTTCTTCCTCTCCTCCCCCGGCGAAATTTGCTCCTCGGACCGCGGCCGGTTTTTCTCCACGCCCTTCCCTCCTCCTCCTCGCTGCCTGGATCCATCGCGGTTTCCCCCGGTCCGCAGCATGGCCAAAGTGGCGGCGGAAAGTTGCGGGACGGCGCCGGCCGAGGACTTGTCCAAGGTGTCGGACGAAGAGCTGCTCCAGTGGAGCAAGGAGGAGCTGATCCGCAGCCTCCGCCGCGCCGAGGCCGAAAAGATGAGCGCGATGCTGGACCACAGCAACCTGATCCGCGAGGTGAACCGCCGCCTCCAGCTGCACCTCGGCGAGATCCGCGGCCTGAAGGTAGCGCTCGGGGCGGGCCGGGGGGCGCCGCTGCGTCACCTGCGAGCCGGGCTGCGCTGCGCCGGGCGAAGCGACGCGTCCCCATCGGGAAAGCGCGGCGATAGGCGTGCAGGAGGCTGTGCCCGCTTTACGCTGCCGCCGTGTAAGGTGACTTAATACGAGCTGCTCGGCAGCATCCCGCAGCCGTATCGCGGTTCCGTTCCGCTCCTAGCGCTGTGCCGCTGCCCGCTGCGATGCTGCGTCCCTCCTTCGTTGAACTCTCGGCCGGTGAGAGCCGTAAGATCCCGGCGCTTCCTTCTGAGCTTCTGAAGGCTGGGGAGGCGGTGTGGTTGCTTACAGGTGATCGCCCCGGTGCAACTTGTGGGGGTGTTAGCTTAGAGATGGCTAAAAGGCAGCTTCTGTCTTACTGCTTCGAGAAATGAAACTGTCTTAAGAAATTCCTTTCGAAGTTAAAGGGAAGGAGGCACCCAAATGCAGCGTGGGCTTTGCGTTATGACATGAGGGAATACGGGAAGAGGGTTCCCGATTTGCAGAATAGCTCCAGGCGAGTGAATTGTTGATAAAGCATCTTTAGTAGCTGTATGACACAGCTAAGTAGTGTGCAGGGGGAGGCTGCTCCTCCGCCTTCCCGTCCTGCAGAGTGTGAATTTGTCCCTTCTGAGGATATGTGATGTCCTAGGCAGGAGACCTCTCAAAGGCAGTGCATCAGTGCAAGCAGATGTGACCTTTGTGGTGCAGCTACGTGTTGTGCCATCACGTGGGATCATCTGCTAGATGAGGAACAAGCCAGGCCAAGATGTGCAGGAAGTAGTGACAAGTTCCCCTTGCAGTGCCTAACTCCCTAAGTGACGTGTGACTTCCACTATTTGTTCAGATATCTTAGCTGGAATTTCCACAGGGAATTTGGGAGAACGAGGTCTGACACCCTGCTGTGGTTCCTGAGCCTCTCTGTCCATGAGGAAAAAGTAGGGCCCTGAGCAGCAGCGATGCCTGCACTTGGCATGTGGGTCCTCCTGCTTCTGCCTGAGCCATGGGATCACTTAAAGTATTTCTCTCCAGCACAGGTTTCTTAGGCTGCCTTGAGTTTGCTTTGAGAGGAATATCAGACAGATGCACATGTCTAGTGGGGCTGCGAAAGCTTCACGCTCTTCAGAAACTGTGCTAAAATGGCCTTTCTGTAAGGCTTGCCTTCTAATGGTTGTGACTCATCTCCACTTCTAATATCCCACAGAAGAAGGAATGAATATTGAGTTGAGAGAAAGTAAGATATGGCCACAAGAAAGTAAGATATGGCCACTAGAAACACAAGATAATGACAGTATTTTCTTTGGCATGTTATTCTGCTTTAGTAGTAGCTTGAACACTTCTGCTTTGGTGCATTTGCTTCAGGTGCTTCCTCACCTAAGAAAGGATGTGGAGTCACGTACTTGGATTGGAATGCAGAATCTGTTCAGGCACCCAACACTGTGGGTTCATTTCAGAGTGGTTGAGGTTGTGCTGGTAAGCTGGTGACTGATAAGGCACCCATATGCAAATCTGGAATGAAATCAAAACTCATATCTGAAATCTCTAACATGTGCTCACTTTCATATGTGATTATGTTCTCAAGAGTAGAGAGCATAAGCGTTAATAATTAAGTGGAATGACAATTTCTGATATACTTCAGTTATATTTAGCAGTGCCATGCACGTGAGTATTTGTCAAGGGAGTGAGATCCTGATGAGAGAGCGTATGATCTTTGCTTTGTTTGGGAACAGAGCTATTCTGATATTTAGGATGAGCATAAATTAAACACCCGAAGCTTTCTTTGCCTGATCAGAATTGAGCTTTTGAACCTTTGAAAGGTTGTAGTCACTTGTTGGGCAGCAGCTCTGTTTGTTTGGAGCACGTTGTTGTATGGCAGATCCACACATGCAATTATTTCTGCCTTGCTCGAGTGCTTAAATGATGGGTTTATGGCAGTGCTGTTTGCTGGCTCGTATCGTGGTGGTGATGTAACGCTGGTTCTTTTAGACACCTCTCAGTCATGATTATCTTTCTTTTAAAGGATATCAATCAGAAGCTGCAAGAAGATAACCAGGAGCTGAGAGACCTCTGCTGCTTTCTGGATGACGACAGGCAGAAAGGCAAGAGGGTGTCCCGTGAGTGGCAGAGACTGGGCAGATACAGTGCCAGTATTATGCACAAAGAGGTTGCCTTGTACCTGCAGAAGCTGAAAGAATTGGAAGTGAGACAAGAGGAAGTGGTTAAGGAAAACCTGGAGCTGAAGGAACTGTGTGTGTTGTTGGATGAGGAGAAGGGCGGTGGAGCGGGCAGCCGGAGCTCCATTGACAGCCAAATCAGCCTGTGCCAATTAACTGCCACCAGCACGTACATAAGAGATGTCGGTGATGGGAGCAGTACTTCTAGCACGGGAAGCACAGACAGTCCAGATCATCATAAACATCATCCGAGTACGAGCCCAGAACATCTTCAAAAAGCTCGGGGTGAAGGAAGCCCCGAGCATCAGAAGCACAGGAGTTCGGGCAGTCCTGATCATCACCTGAAAGGACCGAGTCCAGAACATCAGAAAACCATTGTCAAAGCACCTGAACAACAAAAGCACAGCAGTAGCAGTCCAGAAACTCTCCCAAAGCATGTTTTGAGTGGTAGCCCTGAACACTTTCAAAAGCAGAGGCCTGGCAGTAGCCCTGAGCATCAAAAGCACAGCGGTGGCAGCCCAGATCATCTTCAGAAGCACAGTGGAAGTACAGAACATCTCCACAAAGTGAGGGGCACGAGCCCTGAGCACCTCAAAAAACACTATGGAGGGAGCCCAGAGCATCTCAAGCATCTCAGTGCAGGCAGCAGAGAAGGTACCCTCAGGAGACAAGTAACAGATGACCTGTCCCCTCACCACAGAAGTATATACAATGGAATGAATGGTGGGTCAATAAACTTAGTGAAAAGTCACTGTGAAAATTAGCAAGGTGTTTTCAGTTCTGTTTTGGCTGGTTATGGAAAAGGAGTATTTTTCTTACTTACATTTCTTTCTGAAATGGACGGCAAGAGGTCTGGTGTCAACATTATTCTGGTAGCAAGCAGATTAATTAGATTATAACTTTTTTGTCTGTCCAGTAGGTGTTGGGTGGTTTAAAAAAGCAGGGATGTGAATCTTGAGCCCTTGCTTGTAGGGTATAAAGCAATAGTTCTTGCTCTTAATCCAGCTCTGTGGAAGGAGAGACTGTCCTAAATAGGCTTATTTACATCCTTAAGGACCAAGTTGTCTGTGTTTCTTGTCCTGCCTATTTTTTTGAGTCATTGCAGTGGAGGTGAAGGTCTCCAGTTTTTCTTCCACCTTCCTAACTTAGCCTGTGTGGAGCCTTAAGGATTATAAAATCTAATGTTTATTGGTTTATTGGCTTCTTATATCTGTCTTTATGGACTTAGAAAAGTACACAAATGATAGGGTGAGGCTCAATATACTTGAATGTGCAGTGCCTTCTAAAACTTTTCAAAGCCTTGACTTTGCACGTGTTTAATTATGACAAGTTTAAAAAAAAAAATCAGGGATGATCTCAGGGTTTTTTTGTGGGTGTTGTTACTGCTGCTCTTAAGGAAGATGGCCAACAAGCAGGACAGCTTCTAAGAGCTGTGTATTCTCCCTGATTGCAATTGCCTAAAGATAGGCACAATGTCAATATTTGGAAAGACAAGCAGTTGTGACAGTATTAAAATGAATGAAATAGAGCAAATGATTACAACAAAACTGAAACATCCTGCTGGTGCTGCTGGAGTAACTTTCTGTAGACATGGTGCTATTTCTTTAGCCTGCTCTATTTTCTTTGGGCTTAAAGATGTTTTCATAAAGGAAATCAGCATCTTGTATACTTGAAAGCCCATTTCTTGGACCTCTACGCATCTGAAATCAAGTTCTGAAGTGAGGCTTTTGCCTTAATAAATTGTCTTGGATGGAATTCTCATATTTCTGTCTTATAAGCGGCTGGGAGGAGTTGTCTTGGCACTGGTGGAAGTCAATGCTTGTTGGATCTGCTTGAGATGAGCTCTGTGCTGGGTGCTGTCCTCCTCACTTACCATGCTTCTCTCTCACACCTGTCCATTTATCTGTGATGGTTATCTTTGCTGAAGGCGTTCTGTAAGTTAACCTGCTCTGCAGGGACAAATCCAGATTACTTATGGTGAGATGGATATACTTGACAGGGCTGACAAACCCCAGAGTGGGAAGTGTGAGAGACTTCTCATTAATTTTTGAAGCATTTTAAAGTGATTAGTAAGAAGAATGCTTGACAATCTTGTGAAGATGTGTAATGCATACGTTAGGAAAGTTGATTTTATAAAATGTTCTTTTAAATACAGTGTTTCTTTCATCATTCACTTCTTCCTGTTCAAAATGAGTGCATTGACTCAGCTGTAAGTAAAGCAAACTATGGAACCCCAAAGCTGCCCTTTTCTTACTGGTGTTCATCAGATGGTAAAGCAGAAAAATGATGTAAGGTTTTAAGTGTTTATTTTTAAAACTCATTCACAGACAAATACATGGTTTTCTGCTCTCAGCATGGTGGGCTTTTCGATGGTATTTGTTTTGTCCAAATGGTCATGCTGAGAGCTCAGCATTATTACTAATAGGAAGGCAGTGGTTGTGTTAAAGCTGTGATGACTTGTGTCCTCTGTGTAGTGTATTGCCATGATCTATAGCTTGGCTTCAAGCCATGAGGAGCTGGAGGTGGCAGCTGTCCATCTAGGAGTCTGTTTATTGACTTTAATCAGAGTTTTGCCTGTCCTGCACTTCATATAATCAGTTTTGCAGAGGACTTGGCTCACCAGTAAGTTGTCAAATGTCTCCTCTTTCATGTTTATGTAACTTGATGCTGGCATGGAGTGGATGTCAGCTGGGAGGCTTACTTCTAACATTGGTTTGGCCTTGGTCTCGCTTCAGTCAGTGGTTATGTGCGACAGCTTTGCTGTGAGGGACTTGCCTTAAACTTCAAGGAGGTTCACAACTGAGTTGTGGGTTTTGGTTGTGTCAGCTGCTGTTAATGTGGGAAAGGGCAAGTAATGTGGAAGTGCTAAAAGCACTGGCTGTTATCATTGTTACAGCACTGCTTGTTGTCATGGCAAAAGTAATCACAAGTAAATCATGATTTGCACACTTTGTGTACATCCCTGTATTTTGCATCTGCTGTAAGGGTTGGTGAGAGTGTGTAAAACGTGGCTTGGACATTCTGATGAGCAGTATAAAAGGATGCTTCTTTGGGTTCTTACGTCCAAATCATGTAGTATATATACTATGTCAGAGCTGATTCATTAAAATGTGGGGGCTGTGATGTCACATCTGTTCAATTATTTTGCAGGTCACTTCTGATCTTATTATGGGACTCACCTACTGGCAGCAAGAGAGGATGAAGTGCTTGTGATCCTAAATAATGAATGTTAACATCTTCTGACTAATTGATGAATGTATAAAATGATAAATAATCAGAATTTAGGTGTCTCAGTAGAGGACTGACCTGTCTCTGTTGGTCTTGACTCCAAACCATGGTTGAGAGGAGAAAGTATTCCTCTGCACATTGGATCTTGTTCTGCAAAGTACTGTGTTGTCTATCTGAAATTGCTGTTCCTGTCTGAAAAGCATACATAAAAACAGCCTGGCTATTTCTGCTGGATCAGGAGCTTCTGTACGTCGCTGACAGCGCCTGCTCACCCTGAGTTGTGGTCTTGTTAGTGCCTAGGTGACCACAGGGAAGCAATGTGTTCAGTCAGGTACAGTTATTTAAACCAGAACTTTCCCTGCATGTGAACGCATGGGGAATGGAGTTGGTCAGCTACAGCTGAATCAATTCCAGTGGTATCAGAAACGTGATACATATCAGACTTATAAATCAGTTTTAGTTATTGCACAGTGCTTTGCAGCACTGCATTAACCATTTTGGCCTCGTGCATGTTTTAAGCTGTCATGTAGCACACAGGAAGCTGCTGCAGGTCAGGAGCATCTTTGGTCCTTAGGAACAGCTGAAGGAGCAGAGAATGAGGTGATAATGTTTACTTTCATAATTTTTCTCACTTTCTATTCTCAGGAGTTTGATGTTGTCAGTTTTTTTTCTTGTGTGACTCATCAACAAAACCTGAAAACACTTGAGAAGCTTTCTGTAAGTGTGTGTGTGTGTGTGTGTGTATGTATAATAACTTACCCAGTATTCTACATGCATTTCTGAGAAGTGCATCCTCGTTTCTTGGAGTGACAGAAGATAAGGTCTGAAAGCTGTGTTTTCTATTAACAAACATCAAGCCAAACTTACATATCTTGTTTTTCAAGGCTTCAACCAAATGAATGTGATGATAAAACTGTGATGACTCTCAGATGCTCTGGTTAATGAGCACAGAGATATTTGGAACAGACACTGAGTTTAGAAGAGAAAATGCCAGTGGTGTTAAATACATGAAATTAGATTGTACCATAACCCTTAATAGTCTTTAACTGACACAAATACCTGGGGTGGAAGTGTCTCTATAGAAATTCATGTCATTTTAGCATTTGCAGTCTAAGTGGTGTTGTAGCAATTTATTGTAAACTCTCTGTTTTAAGAATTCCTTTGTTTTACCCCAGGCTTTGACTTCTGTGTGCAAAGAAAATATCAGAAGGCTTTCGTGTGTGCTTTTTGCTTCCTGCTGAGGTTATTACAGAGGAGCAGTAAAACTGCTGACTAACACTGCGTGCTGCTGGAGGTGTGAGGGCTCTTGTGGAGCAAATGCAGCAGCACCTCAATTGAACAAGACTATTTGTAAGTTAAGCTCAGCTTCAATCTTGAGCCATTCCTGCTGTAAATGTGCTTCTTGGGAGGGGAACGCAGTAAGAAAATATCTTTATTTTGCTTCTCTAAGTAAAAAGAGAAAATTACAGTATCTCTTCAGAGAGAGAAACCTTACAGTAACATTACTGAAATAAATGGTAGCCTTTCCATGGAAACTGCTCACATTGTGCTGGCCAAACAGTGAAATGATGTCACTTTTGCTCGCGTTCTCTTCTTGCATTTGAAATGGAAGTGATTTTCCTATCCAGAATGGCAGTGCACAGCATGGCACTTGGGACTTCAGCTTTCCCAATGGCACCCACGCTGGTACAGCTGCCATTTGAAGTCTGATACAGCATTGCTTGCTCTTGAGAGCAACCTGATATGTAAGCTGAGGCTTTAGGATTGGTGGAATTTTTTTTTGCTTGTCAGTGTGAGTTAATCTACTGCTTCTTTTTGGTGTTTATTTTAAGTGTAGAGCTCTGAATCTTTTGTGTCAATGGGAGTCTGTCGTTTGAATTCCGTAGGTTTCACATCAGACTTGTAAATCAGTGTTACTGTATGCTGTAAGAGAATATGCACGAATGTGATTAGAGCATGCTGTATTCATTACCAAACCCATTTCTGTGGAGTTTTTTTCTTCTCAGGTTGAAATTGTGACTTGTAATACCAACAGCAGTAACTGACCAGACTAGGGCTGACTGTACAAGTTCATGTCTGTCTCTGTCTGTTTGATGCTAGATGGGCACATGAAGTCATCACATAGGGGTTTTACATTCCTTCTTGGATGTCATATCTTGCAAAACAGATGACTTTGCACTAAGGGCTTGCTCCTAATTCACTGGAGGCAGTGATCCTGTCACTGTGAGTCCCAAGGTATTTTCTTCTGCATCAGCAGGAGAATCATCAGGAGCCTGGGGAGCAGTTAGTGCTGTCTGCCTGAAATACTTGGGCAGACTTCATTCCATTTGAAAGTGCCAGAATGGAGAATCCTCACATTGAAGCCCTGAGTTCTTGCATGGGGACAGTGCCTTTTGCCTGGGGGCAGGACCTCAGGACCTCATCTAACATAGACCCATGCATGGCTTTCTGAGGTACTGTGCTCTGATTTTGTTAGAGTAAAATGTATTTTTAAAAACATTGCTCTGATTACATTGTGAAATCCTTTAATCTCTGGCAGCTCTAATGTAGAGTTTGGCTATTATAATAATTCTTGGTGTTTGTTCAGGTACTTCAGCCTCATAGGATATACTATGTGTGTAATTAAAGGCAATCCTGTTTTTTATTTTATTTTATTTTTTTTTTCTGCTATCTATAAATTGAATGTTTACTTTTGAGATGTATTAAGTTTCGTTAGCTAGTGATGGAGAGTTGTTACAAGCTGTGTAGGTGTTGGGGCTGACTGGGTTCGTAAGCAGAGGGGAGAGCATGGCAGCCAGTATAGTGTGGGGTTTGGCTTCGTGCTGCCAGTGACATTCTGTGCATGGACAGGTGTTATGGGGCATCCATAGTGAGGATGTATTTATTACTTAGAATGTATTTAACTAATGATATTGATATAAATCTTGCCTGCATATACTTCTTGAATATCTGGCAAGTGGGCTCCGTTCAGAGAGTCAGGTAGGGCTGCAGTGCTCAGTTCTGAATTTTCTTTCTCAATGCAGGAAGAAGTGTATCTTGACCTACGACAGCCATACTGGCAAAGGGTTTCCATCTGAACTACATGGTGGTTGTGGGAGAACTGGTGTTACAGCATCCTGCTTGAAGCTGTGGAAGAGTCCACTCTGTAACCTCAGTATTGTTGTCTATCCAAAGACAACTGTGATATCCCTTAGTAAAGAAAAAGGGGTAGAGCATTGTGTTGAGAAATCTGGAGAAATGACTGAGCTTCCTATTAAAACACAACTAAACTCTTCAGCCACGGTGGCAGATCTATCCAGGCTCTGTGAAATGATGTCAAGGCCTTGAGAAGCATCACACGTTCCTTTGGGTAACACAGAGCAAAAGATAACATGTAAGGACATGGTAATTAGTGCTGGGGGAAGAGATGGATTCATCTGGTTTAAGACAAACCTCAGCTTGTAAGTAGCTTGAACTGTGAATGGGCTTCACTCAGATGTTTTGTTACATCGCTGTTAATGGGAAGAACTTTTGTTTGTCATCATCTAAAACAGCCAGCCCTAATTCCTGCTGGGGGAAAGAAGAGGATAAAATGCTGATTGTCCCAATGAGCTGATTCACTATAGCAATTTCTCATTTTCTTAAGGATATTTTTCCTTTGTACAAGACATACGATTTTTTTATTCCCATATATCCAACTTTGGCTTGTGATATTGCTCAAGAACTTAGGAATCTGTCTTTCACCTTTTATTGCGACCCTCAAGTAATGTAAGAGGTTTTAGTATTGTCCTTTGATTGCTTTAGGAATGCACATTAAAAATCTCCTGTAACGTGGGGAATAAACAGTTGAGAAATGGAAAGGTGTGTTTAAACAGACAAGGAGGATGAATTCAGCCTTCTCTCTTTCCCTTCTTTGTTTTGTTTCAGGTTCTCTTGAAATAGGTTCTCTTATTTTGGGGCTTAAAGTGTCAGAAAAGAAAAATACCAAAGAAAATAAGAATAAGGAAAGGTGAATGCAGAGAAGGTGTTGAATAGTAGGACTAAAAGACAGTGAGATACACTGGTCATAACAGTAAGTTGGGTCTGAGGAAATTATACAAGTATGAAAAGGGGGGAAGCTTGTATACTAAAGTATTCTTGCAACAGGCATGGAAATAAAAGAAATCCCATGCCATGATGATACCAGTCTGTGCACACTTCATATGTTTGTAAGTCTTTTAGGTCCTTTTAATTCTGCAGGATACACAGAAGTGCTGGGATCATGGTTTGAGATCTGCACGTGAGCATTTAGGGATGCACGGCATGAAAGTGTTTGCAGATCTATTGACTGTAAATGGGACAGCCTACCTCAAGATAGCAGCTGTCCTAGAAAGATGAACAGTTAGGTGAAGCCTGTGAATAACAAGTAGCCTTAGTTCAGCTCGTTGGTTTTGCTGTAAGACTTGTGGCTTATTTGCATTACTTCTGTATGTTCTTGGTGAGAAGAGGGAGCCAGCAGTTACGCACTTGGATGCTTCAGCAAGTCAGTGTTTCTTTAACTCTTTATTTTTCCTTTACATCATTTGGTGTAGTATGCTGTGAGTTACTATGGCTGTTATGCCATGATTTTTTTTCTCCTCTGTAACCTGAAATTATACTGTCTTGAGAAAGTTCCTATCCTTTAAAGAAGAAAAAGGGGTTATTTGTACATGTGTGTGTACGTATTTGTGTGTGTGACACAACACACTTGTACTGAAGCCCTGCCATGAGTACCAGCTGGAGGATTGCAGTGAGCCACGTGGTAAGCAACAGTATTGAAAGTTCTTTTTCTTGTACCTTCTCAAGGCTACCCAAATTGTTCCATCATTTCCATGCCTGTCAAATCTGATCTGATCAGTAGTAGGATGCTGCTTGCAAGTGTTTGGCCTCAAAGCTGTGACACTATGTTTGTGTCACTGCGTCTCTTTATCTTTGTGTGAATAGTGAAAACTTGCATTGATAACACTTTTTGTATGAGTCTGGAAGAGGTCTATTTGCACCTTGGATTTGAAGCAGGGGGAAAAATGCTTTTCTGGAACTTGCAGAACTGATGCATCACTATGCAGCTCACATCTATGTGAGGTTCAGATAAGCCTGGAGAACAGCATTGATTGGTGACCCACATCCCCTCTTGGTTTCTGAGTTTATTTTGGTTTTGCAGAGGATGAATCCTAGTAATGTTAAAAATCCATCTTAGGATTTTTGTAGGTCAGAAAACATTACTGGTAACAGTAGGGAGGATAACATGGGAAGGAAAAAAAAACAACCTAACAAAAACGAGCAGCCAAAATTCATCTAAAGGCAGCCAAATACATCAAGCAGGAACATATGGATGCTGTGAAGTAGGCCCTGAAAAACTGGTTTAGATCCTTCGAAACATGTGAGTGCTTCACTCCTTGTTGGACATGGGACTTAGACTGAGATGGGAGGCCCGGAGAGAAGCAAGATGCCTAAAGAGCCATGCCCCTTCAGTGCTCTGAATGGAGTCTGTAGCCTCTCGTTGTAGCTTGCCTTGCTTCCTCATGTCTGTTTTAAGATTTTTCTAACTTGAATTTTGAATTTTAGGTTTTTGCAATATCATTAAATCCATAAACAAAACCTAAAAGCAAAGCATTCCAACAACGGTTTTTCTTCCCTAACCAGATTTCCAACCACCAAGACCAAAGGCTCTGCAGTCTTAACTAAACAGTAGAAGATACCAGAATCAATGTCTCCTCCAGGTACAGGTGCTAAGAACTTCTTGATTTTCTTATTGGAACTTGATGTTTGATCTATGCTCCAGTTGGTAATGCTAAATCCTTCATGTTGACCACTTGCTACCATAGCACATGTGAATATTTTGGGGAGTTAAGAGGACAAAAAAGCATCCTGAGCATATTAAATTAAGTTCTATTCAGCAATTGAATATTGCTTTTTGCCCATCTTTACATCATTTATAGAAGTAATAGGATGAAAAGAGTTGTTATCTTTTAGTGTACACTGCAAGTTGAACTCTGCTGATAAAATGGGTGGCTGGACTGCCTGACAGCATGGAAGTGATTGATCAGACTTTCAGAAGCCTGGATCTCAGTTCTGTCCTCTCAAGCACTTCATGTGGTGTTGAGGAGCTCCTTGTATTGCTCACACTACTGCAGTTGTATCCAGCTGTAGACTGAAGGAGTGCAGCAGTGGTTTAAAGGAGATGTAGTTCAGAAGGACTTGTTTTGTCCTTATTGCTCTCCAGTAACCTAAATTAAACAGGCCCTGTAGTTAGAGACAAGTCAATTCTTATCAGCTGCCACCTACAAGTGTGTACTGTGGGCACTGAAGCTCAGAAGCAGTTCCCTGGACAATATATTCTATTCCAGCTCTGTTGCCTGATGGTGTTCCTGTTTAAACATTCGTGACTAAAGAGAATATTCTAATACCAGGATGGGTGTTTGAAAGATATTTAATGTAGGATATTTGAATGAGAAATAGGTTTTATTTTGCTTTCAAAGCCAAATAACTTCAGAATTTACCAGTATTGAAAAAAAAATCTGTACTTCTAATGTAGTGTCTTGTGTCTATTTTGTTTGGTAGAGGTGTGCTTAGCAGCTTTTTTTTTTTTTCCCAGTAAATTTACATTAGGTGCCCACCCTGCACGTTTTGCCCTAATGTGAAGTTTTGAGTATTTGCTGCCTTAGTTACTGGAGAAATAAGGTGTTGACCAGATGCAGTCAGGCGCCTTGTTCTCTGATTTAACATTTTTGAGTGCTTAATTGCCCCTGAGTTTTGTTAAATTTTAATTGATTGATCTTGCAGTGCTGCCCAGAATTCCATCATGATGCAGTAAGCTCTTGAACCTCATGGGAAAAGATTTGTTATAGAAGGTGAAAGTGATCAGACTTTCGCTGTCTGGAATGAGAAAAGTTCAGTTAGTGCTTGTATCCTGTTTGTTAGGAAATGCTGTTTCCCAGGGAGCCAGGAGCATCTTTAATTTTAACCACTTTGGTCTCACAGTGCCTGTTTTCACCCATCGGTGCAGTTGGTGTTCACGTGCCTCAGCAGTGTGAGTGGCTGTGCTTGGCAGGTGATGAACAAAGCAGCCAGCTGGCTTCAGGATCTAGCAGCATGGCTGTTGGTAGAACCTGGTGGAAGAGCAGTTGGATCCTGTGAGCAAAACTCAGGCTTTCAGAGCTTTGCTCCTTCTGGATTTCCCATGTCTTCACTCCTCCAGTTCTGCAGCTCTTCAGAGGCTGGGCATGATTGGAGTTGGAAAAAGCAGTACTGCTTAGTGGGGAATCTTGGTGAAATAAACTCTTGCTTTGAATGAGAAGGACTGTATGGGTTTGGCTGCCTGGAGGGATCTCTACCTCTGGGTCTGGTGGTCTTGAAGCTGATGCTTGCAGAGAGCTGTGGATGTTATGTTAACCTGAATAAACTCTTACACCTGTTGGTAGTAAGTTGTAGCCTGGGTTTTGTTCAGCACTTATCAGTAGATCTCAAAGCAGTTTACCAAGGAAAAGAATATCGTGATCTTCATCTTGTGCATGAAAGAACAATGGGCTGAACAAATGACAAGACAGCCCTCAGCTATATCTACGGTCCAGATTTCCTGCATTTTAGCTATGATTATTCCATTGCATCATACCACTCTTCTAACAGCTTTTTCTTAGCTTGTTTTGCATGTGGGGTAAGAAGTGGGGCTGAGGTTACTCACATGCCTAAAAAACACCTTTGTGAACAATTAGCTTGCTGCAAATGCTCACAATGTGTTTCCTTTCAAAATCAAGTTTTAAGGCAATCTGTTTCCTTCCTTTCTGAATATTGTGACTTAAACTAACCAGGTCAGTGTGGTTCGAAGATATTTTTAACTTTTGTGCCTGCAGCAGGCATACTGTATGATCTTAATGCACCTCTTGCATTTAAAAGGTGTGCTTGAGAACACTTAAACATTTACCAAACTGACTTAAATGGAGCACTGTGATAGCTTTACTAAAGGAAATGACAGTTTTCTGTCTTGTTTCTAACACTGCAGGGTAGCTGTGTAGCTGCTATTGTCTTTGGGAGATGGAAATGCTGGTCTGAAGCTGAGCTGTGGTCAGCTATCAGCTGGGGGTTGTACTGAGCTGGTACCACCAAAGGGGGTATTCATCTTTCATCAGAATGAAATGTTGAAAAGGAAGCTCTTACTCTTCAAAACAGATGTGTGAGAAATCAGAATATAATAATGTGGCAAGATAGTCACTGAACCCCTAGTGTCAATCCACAGTGTGGCTTCTTGTGGATGTGGCAGGGAAGGGGGGAAGGGCTGCTTAGGTCTAAATCTCTGTGGCAGGACTCGTAGTATGAGCACCTGTGTGACATGGCACAAGTCAAGATGGGCTCCTGGTGACATGGAGCCTTCTGAGACTTTTGACTGAGCACCCTTTCCTTTCTGTCCACTCATTTCCAGCAGGTGGGTGGTGGCTGCTGATTGCTACCAAATGCTGTGGGTAGCACAGAAGCAGCGTGCAGGAGTGGTGTGTTGGGGGGAAGGTTGCATGAAGGCTCTTGCTGCCTACCAAAAGGTGGAGATTTGCTGTGCAATGTCACTGCTACGCAGTCATTTCTAAAAATTGTGAATGGCACCAACTGGAATCCAGTGCAGGGCTTTAAAGCTCTGTAGTAATGTACGCTCACTGGGGAACCAGGCTTTGACATTCAAAAATGACAGCCTGAAGGGTTCCGTTCTCTGATAAGTGATGACACTGCAAAGCCACGATTCTTGCTTTCTACTCTCAAACTACTTCGATTATGGCAGCTTCCTGCCATGCTAAGTATTGAGGTTTTTAATGTGGCTGCGGTCTGAGTGCGATTTAATGTTTGAAACTTGTCCAGGGATTAAAGTAGCGTTGATCTTGTTACTATTTTAATCTCTTATAAACTAGAGCAAGCGCCAAGTTGTGTGTTCTGAGTGTGATTTAGCAACCTGTTAGTCTTCTAATTATCCTCTTAATTAGATTGGTCTGATCATTTGGTGCTTGATATAAATGCATATTCTTAAGTTCTCAGAGCATT